GAAAGGAGAGAGAGAGGAGTTACCGTAATCAGTTGTAGAGAAAACAATCTCTCTCTCTCTACAGTATCTACACACGACTTGTCTCACTATCATAAGGAAGTACTCTACCTGTCGTAATTCACCTGTATGAGATAAGTGACTTTATGTATACAGGTAAAACTCCACCATACATCAGGTTTTAGATATTCATACGTGTATACATTTCCATAATACATTCCCTAAGTTCAAAAATAACTTCGAGAGGATACCAGCCAGACTAGATGATAATAAAATTCCTGACATGTGTAAGAATAATACGTGGAATTAAAATAAACTTGGAGGGAAATGTCAGAGAATACATACGACTGTTAGCAAAGTGTCCTAGAGAGAGGGAGATTTATCTGACGCAGCACCTTCAGGAAATATTTATACTGTAGAAGGAGGATAGCTGGGTCCTAGAGGCACTGAAGAAGGAGGAGAAGAGAGGACACGGAGGAATAGGAAGAAATATTATAAAGAATAAAGTGATAAATGAGGAGAAGGTAAGGAGGTGGGGAGGACAAATTGGTTTATTAAGACGCCGCGTGTGAGTTGGTTTGGTTAGGTTAGGTTAGGTTAGGTTAGGTTAGGTTAGATTAGGTTAGGAAGGGTGGAAAACTGATGGAATTGGGAGACATAATCGTATGGTTTATATATGACACACACACACACACACACACACACAAACTTTTCCAATAAACCGTTTATTATTATATATGACACACACACACACACACACACACACACACACACACACACACACACACACACACACACATCCTCCTTGTCACCTCTCTCCAAGTTTATCCAAATAGTGGGACTTTCTTCTTTGGGATGTCATGAAATTTATCACCTTTGCTTTCACCAATTGTTCCTTGACTCACTGTAATATTTCACCTTTCTTGATACCTGTATTTTCTAACTATATATTTGTTCCACCTATGTAAAGTCTCTTCTGTACAAGGTTGGGGTAGTTTTAATTCTTTGTCTTATAATAAATACTTGTGTTTCTCATTTCAGTAATTTTATTTTATTTTAATATATTTTTCTCTGAAGAATAATTAATGATATTCAAAAGTATTAGAGAAAGTATTATAATTCATCTACTTTTTTTTAGATAATTTTACAAGTACCATAAATTTTTCATTTTTTACATCGTTAAATAGTAAAGTTAAATCATTTATGTCCAATCAAAAACTTTGTATGTATGAAGATAAACAGACAATAAAAATGTGAACATAAGGTGTGTGTGTGTGTGTGTGTGTGTGTGTGTGTGTGTGTGTGTGTGTATGTGTATGTGTGTGTGTGTGTGTGTGTGTGTGTTGGAAAGAGTTAGAGCGAAAATGTAAAATTCATGAGTGTCTCTGGGTGAAAATGTGTCGTGCGGAAGTGTGAAAGTTTAGCAGCTATCTGAGGTGACAAGGCCAGAGAGTGTGATGAGAAATACGGATGGTCAGTTCTACGTTTACCTAGCACGAGATCTGAGGATTCGCCCTCCAGTTGAAAAGACCTGACACATGCTTGCCCCTGTGTTTTGTGGGTTGGTGTAGTTATTTGTAATATTTCTACGTGTGTGTGTGTGTGTGTGTGTGTGTGTGTGTGTGTGTGTGTGTGTGTGTGTGTGTGTGTGTGTGTGTTATAACCCTGTGTTTACTCTCGTCATTGCATTCGTCTCTGTCTATCTCTCTTCATTTCTCCTTCTCCTTTGTTTATTATCGTCTGTTTCTCTGCTCCTCACTTAAATTTAATCTCGCGGTAGAGAAAAAGAAAGAACAGAAAGAGACAGAAAGATAAACATGGTGGATTAAAACTCTACGGATAACACCTGCTTTAATTAATTACCTGTGTACCTTAAGCTCAATTTACCTTTAATCTTACTCTTACTTCACTACTGAGTCCATCATCTATTACTGAGGCCATTCCTGAGTCCGAGATATACTAAATGGGCCTCGAAGATAAAAGAAAAATAACGAAAAATTAAGGAAATGGTTAGTGAAAGGCTTGACACGAATAGTTCCTCAAATTGGCCAACAGCACGGAGACATAAACCATAAACCATCAAGTGTAAGACATAAACCATCAAGTGTAAAACATAAACCTCACACATATATACCATTTTTTTTATTACACCCTCTACCATGCATCACCAAACACAACACCAGCAACATCACCAGTAGTAGTCACCAATACACATTCATTTGTGAGAGAGCCAGTCAGTACGCCAGGTTAGCTACGAGTCAATCAGATTCCTCATGTACGATTTATCATCCATGGAATTATTTTTAACTGGATTTTCTGTTTTATTTGATGAAAAAATAATCTTGGGGAAATTTTTAGTTACAGATGAAATTTGTTGATATTTTTATTGTTAACATTAATATAATTACTCCTTGAAGATACTGATGTAAAATTGGAGTTTGAATTAGTCTGAATTTACATAGGCCTATTACACCACTTGATTACTTTGTTTATAACTGTTATTTAATGTTCTTGCTGGTTGTTATGCATTAATTAATCTTTGTTCATTTTTACCTGTAGGATTTCAACTTATGTTAGTTATACGCTTTTTTTAGCTCTGTAAAGTTAAATTGGAGTACAGTTTAACAATTAATAGCTCAGTGGCTTGTTTAATATATTTTATTTCGAGGTGATTAATGTATTTTGTGATTTATTTATTTTATTCTATTTGTATTATTTTGATGTTATTTTATGTTTTTAAGTTGAATAATAACGAGAAAAATTTATCGATTAAACTTTGGTTGAACTTAAATATTATACTAACCTTTTTAATACTATAAATATCATATATAGACACTATAATTTCTATTCAGACAATAAACATAGTCTAACCTAACCAAAACCTGACCTGACCTCACCTCACCTGACCTCACCTCACCTGACCTCATTAACAATAATTCATAAAACCTTCAATCTAATGTCTCTAAAGAATTTGCATACATAATGTCCGTAGGTTTGTAGATGAAATGTTGTGGAATGAACAGTGCATCTGGCCAAAAGTAAAGACGATTTTTTTTTCCAGTTTTAATAAGTCGGTTCATTAGATACGCAAATACTGTATTGTGAGGACGATTACATACACACACACACACACACACACACACACACACACACACACACACGCACACACGCACACACACACACACGACCTAATTATCAACACCATATCATCCTTTGTGCTGTGGATGAGTCGCTATCACCCGTCCTCTCACTCACTGGGACAATGGTTCGAGACATCATCTTCTCTGTCTAAACCCATGTTACTCTTACCTCAATATTTACCTGTCTCTCTCCCAGGTGTTCTTCATATACCTGTATTTACCTGTCTCTTCCCAGGTGTTCTTCATATACCTGTATTTACCTGTCTCTCTCCCAGGTGTTCTTCATATACCTGTAATTACCTGTCTCTCTCCCAGGTGTTCTTCATATACCTGTATTTACCTGTCTCTTTCCCAGGTGTTCTTCATATACCTGTATTTACCTGTCTCTCTCCCAGGTGTTCTTCATATACCTGTATTTACCTGTCTCTTTCCCAGGTGTTCTTCATATACCTGTATTTACCTGTCTCTTTCCCAGGTGTTCTTCATATACCTGTATTTACCTGTCTCTTTCCCAGGTGTTCTTGATATATTTATTTTCTTTGCGATTTTTATATTATTTCTCAAAGTTTTTCTTCTATACATATTCTCTTGTTCTCTTTTCTCTCTCATTCGTAGGTTTTATTCTCATGTTATTCGTTATATCTCTATTTCTACTCATATTTATCTTATTATCTCACCTGTTAGTGTCTCTCTCATCATCATCCGTCTCTCTGTCTCACTTCTCTTTGTTCTCTCTTTCTCCCTCATCTTGCGTTATCCTCTCTCTTTTTTCTACTTCCCTCTCTTACTTGTTCTCCTGTTTCCCTTTCCTTCTTTCTTCATCTTTTTCTAATTCATTATTTATCCTCTTTCACCTTCCTCTCACTTAACTCTTATTTTTCTCTTATTTTCCATTCACTCATTCTCTCCCTCTATCTCTTCTTCCTTCCCTCACCTCCCTCTCTCTCCCTCCCTCCCTCTCCCCTGCCTCTACCATCCTCTCTCCCTCCCTCCCTTTACCATCCTCCTCCTCCCCACATCCTCCCTCTCTCACTACTCTCCCTCCCTCTCTACCATCCCTCCTCCTTCCCCCTACCATCCTCCCTCCCCTACCACCTCTCTCCCTACTATTCCCTCCTCTCCCTCCCCCCTCAACTCTTCACCACTTCACACTGGCAACCGACCGTCGAAAAAAAAAAATCTCTATATTGTCAAACAGGAATCTTATACCGAGCTTGAGCCAAAGGGTTAATTTGCATACTGTCAATATTACCCACGGTCAGACATCACGGCCAGACATCACGGCCAGACATCACGGGCAGACATCACGAGCAGACATCACGGGCAGACATCACCTCACGAGGCTACACCAAACACGATCGTTTATTTAGATTTTTTTTTTTTTTAACAGGAAGGAAAAAATATATACACGAGTGGTCCAAATTAGTTCACTGAGAGATTGTTTGACTTTGAGAATGGAAGGAAGATTAGTGATGGCGTGGAGGAGGAGGAGAAGGAGAGAGGGTGAAGAAGAGGAGGAGGAGGAGAAATGTGAGGTGAGGAGGAAGAAGAGAGGAAGGAAGAAAGGAGGTAAAGAAAGCAGGGGGAAAATTGATTAAGGTGGAGAGGAAGAAAAAATGAGGAGAAAAGTATTTGAGTGAGTGAGTGAGTGAGAGGGAGGAGGAGGTAGAGGTGTTGGGAGACGTAGGAGATAACTACAGAGGGAGAACAAGAGATAAACAGAGGGAGGACGAGGAGACGAGGAAGGGGAGAGGAGGGGGAGAGGGAAAGAGGTCCAGGAAGGGAGAGAGAGAGAGAGATGGATAAAGGTTCAATATCACTTCAACCTTCAAGAACTAATTCGTATCTTTCTCTTCTCTACAGATTCGCCACCTACCACCTCTGCTGTCAGTGGCCGTCATCACCCCCACGCAGGTAAGGACACGGCAAACCATTTATTCAAATCTTTTTCCTGTTACTACCCACGTGATCAGGGCGACTCTACTCACCTCTGCTGTAATAACTCTTCGCTCGTGGGGGTCATTACCTAAAGTGTGTCAATAAAAGTAGCGTATAAAGGTTCTCAGGGTTTTTTTTTTTCATTTTGTATTTTAGTTTACTGGAGTTTATTTCCTGTTTATTCCAGCAAGTTGGGAAATATATGGTGTGTGTGTGTGTGTGTGTGTGTGTGTGTGTGTGTGTGTGTGTGTGTGTGTGTGTGTGTGTGTGTGTGTGTGTGTGTGAACTCTAGTTAGATCTGATATTTTATTTCTGTCATTTCCTAATTACCTTTGACCCAATAATGGTAAAATATATCACAGAATATTATAACCACACACTGTACTGAGAGACACACCATTATACTCCACTCTTTCGTCACTCACTCGTCACTCACTCTCGTCACTCACTCTCGTCACTCTTTCGTCACTCACGCATCACATTTTTACATTCCGCGTGAGATAACCTGAATCCGGGTGTCGATTGGCCTTGTGTATATGAAACCTCTCTATCCCTACTCTCGCTAATGACTGGCTAGATGCTCACCAATTGCTGTTATGTTTTGCCAAGGACCAATCAGAGCCTTTGTGTGTTGGGGGGGGGGGGGGGGGGGGGGAGGTGAAGATGATGGCACGTAGAATGAATGAACCTCATTATAGATAGTGGTAAATAATAAAGCTAGGGAAGAGGGAAATAGGGATGAGATGAATGATGGAGTCGGTGGATGCTGGAAGGTGGGTGATGGGGAGGATGCTGGAAGGTGGGTGATGGGGAGGATGCTGGAAGGGAAGGAATGGTTAGGATGCTGTTTGATGCAAGAAGGTGAGGAATGGGGAAGTTCTCCTTCTACCCACACCTCTTACCCATTGTGGTCTAACAGTAAGATAACACGTGTCTGTCTTTAGTTCAGCCAGCAACCACAACAAACACTCCTCAGAGACGATAATGTGTGTACTGTGTGGCCTTGTATCGAGCTCACTGCCCCCTCATGGACATACCTGCCTGTGATTAAAACAAAATCATTCCTTATTATGTACTAGAGAAGGAAGGGGAACGGTATTGGAAAGGTGGATGTGAAAGGAAATGATAATCTGTTTACTGCATCCACCAGCCTCTGTTTACTGCCATTATTTAAGGTGTCAAGGCCTCAAAAACTCAATAAATAATGAAAATATACCGTGAATGATGAATTAATTATATTACTGTTGTATAAGTAATGGTGTAAGATAAATAATCCAAGAGACGGGAATACACACTAAATGTCCTATACACGCCTTGTAAAAATCTCAAGCACATTCAACCTCCAAGACGTTATTTTAGGGAGAAAAGAGATTGGAAAATTGGAGTGCAGTTGAGTGTGAAGGATTTTCTGCGAATGTACATCCACATAACACACACACACACACACACACACACACACACACACACACACACACACATAACACACACACACACACACACACACACACACACACACACACACACACACATTTTATCAAGATAACAGCATTGACCGTCACTCCCCCCTCAACCATACGACTCAGGTAACAGGCAACCTCACTTACCGTTCTCACCAGTGTTCGAAAAAAATCCTTACACGTACGATTCACGCTTCGGACGCGTTAATTTCGCCGTCAGTTGGCGTGAAGAGAGGCGGACGTGCTGGTTTACTGGGGAGGAGACATCACGCAGGAGGCGCTGCTGGTGTGAAAGGCAGGTAGAGGGGCCGTGTGTCAATATCCCCGATGGAAGAGGCAACCAGGAACTGTCGGAGACCCCGTAGGGTGACGGGAATGAAGCAGGGAGGTAGAAGGGGAGGAGAAGGGTGGAGAAGCATTAAGGGTGACGAAAAGAGAGTAGAGATGAGGGAGAAGGGAAATGTAGATTGAGACAAGGGCTAATGAAGCTAGAGGTGGGAGACAAGATGTGAGGAGAGGAGAGGTTGTTAATAGTGAAGGTGCAATAGAGAATATCTTTGCGTACAATATAGGAATAGGCAAATGGTGGATTGAAGGTGAGGGTGGAATGAGGATAAGGGAGTCACGTTAAAGATATATGGTGGTCATGATGATTAGTGTTGGTGGTGATGAGAAGTGATGGTGGTGACTGCTAATGGTGTTGCTTGGTGGTGATCGAGGAGGTGAGGGTAGTGGAAAAGGACTTAGGAATAATCACTAGAACAAACCCCTGTGAGGAATGAACTCTTAATGGTCAGGGTGAGGATCTGGTAACACTGAGTTGCTGTATAAAAGATTAAGTGTCGTGGCTTGGTTTGGTTAGGTTAGGTTAGGTTAGGTTAGGTTAGGTTAGGTTAGGTTAGGTTAGGTTAGGTTAGGTTAGGTAAGGTTAGGTTCCAGGATTCCTTTATTATTTTTGAGAAAATATATTTTTTCGAGTATTTCACCACTGCTCTTGAATCTATAGTCCTACAGCAGCTCTTTTGTAACGGGAAATACAATAAAAGTAACAGCGAAGAATAAATTGCAGTTTGTAAATGATAAACAGAGTGTGGGCGAAGAAATGCAGCCAGTTGGATATATTTTTGCAAATGTAGCAGCGTCAAGCGCCAGCCGCTGAGAAAAGTGATGCTCATTTGTTATTGTTTACATGAGCAGCTGGCGGGGGGGGGGGCCTTGTTTATACTGTACCGTTTCGTCTTCGTCTTACGGCTTCTTGTGTTGCAACATTGTAAGACCCGTTGACAGTTTATTTATTTGTCCGTCTGATTATGTCTGTCTGTGCAAATATGTCTTTTTAAACACACACACACACACACACACACACACACACACACTGCTTACTTATCATTGTAAATTACTGGTAAATACCTGTCAATATCCCAATAATCTTCGTGTGTGTGTGTGTGTCAGCTCTCTCTCTCTCTCTCTCTCTCTCTCTCTCTCTCTCTCTCTCTCTCTCTCTCTCTCTCTCTCTCTCTCTCTCTCTCTCTCTCTCTCTCTCTCTCTCTCTCTCTCTCTCTCTCTCTCTCTCTCTCTCTCTCTCTCTCTCTCTCCCACCTCACCCCTCATCACCACTGAAATATGAAGAGTGGTAACAGCGGCTTGAGTGAGACCCGACAGAATAACACGACACCTCATAAGAAATGTTATTCTCTAATGGATACTAACAACAACAATAACAACAACAAACAAATAAAACAAACAACAACAACAACAACACTTTTTTGGGAGGGGAGACTTTTTTTTTTTTTGCATCGATGACATTGGTTAAAGGAATCGAATCTCGCATTTATGGCCCGGATGTGGCATAGCTCTGTCATGCCCTCGACGACCTAAATTAAGTGTAAAGTGAGGAGGTGGGGAGGGGTAAGAGGGGAGGGGTGTGGTGTGTTGATTTCCTAGGTTAGGTTAGGTTAGGTTAGGTTAAAAGACTTTACAGCAAGGTAGACTGACACAAACACAGAAACGCACATACACACACACACACACACCGAACGGCTAATGATACACACACACAGGTGAACTAAATCACTAGGAAGACGAAACAGAAAGACAAGTGAGAGAGATAAGATGTAACTAACTATAGGAGACAGTGATAAAACAACAACAACAGAGAGATAAAGAACGGGAAGGAAGAGAGATACACGATAAGCAACAGAGAGATAAAGAACGGGGAGGAAGAGAGATACACGATAAGCAACAGAGAGATAAAGAACGGGTAGGAAGAGAGATACACGATAAGCAACAGAGAGATAAAGAACGGGGAGGAAGAGAGATACACGATAAGCAACAGAGAGATAAAGAACGGGGAGGAAGAGAGATACACGATAAGATGAAGGATGTGTAAATAATCACCTGGGAAATACGTGTGAGGTACCTGAGTGTGGGGGAGGGGAGAGGAGGGGAGTAAGATGGGGAGTGGAGGAGGAGAGGGGAAGGAGGGGTGAAGGGAAGAAGTAGGAGGGATGGAGAGATGGGAAGGGGATAGCAGGTGGGAGGGAAGAGGTAAGAGAAGGAGAGAAGGATGAAGTGAAAGGTGGAGGAGGAGGATAAAGGAGAAATGATAATACAAAAAGAGAACGATAAGAAGTAGAGGAAGGAGAAGGAAGTAGAGGAGGAAGATAATAAAGGTAGGAGGAGGAGGAGGAGAGGTATAGGAAAAACAAGAAGTCATCTCTTAAATATATCAACAAAAATAATCATTTCTGAAACTCAAAACATCATTCACCATTCCCTTCCCATCCCTCCTCCCCTCCCTTCCCATCCCTCCTCCCCTCCCTTCCCATCCCTCCTCCCCTCCCTTCCCATCCCTTCCCATCCTTCCTTCCTCCTCCCCTCCTTCCATCCCTCCTCCTCCTTCCCATCCTCCTCCTCCCCTCCCTCCTCCCCTCCCTTCCCATCCCTCCTCCCCTCCCTTCCCATCCCTTCTCCCCTCCCCTTCAATAATAAAAATAGTAGTGAATTACGAAGGAGGTGTACAGGAATAGGAGAAGAGAGAGAGAGAGAGAGAGATTACCAACCTGTCCAGAATTTAATAAAATAATCACGTTTATGCGTCCTTACCTTACCTTACCTTACCTTACCTTACCTTATATTAAATTGAAAAGTAATGAATATTTATGTGTTATGGTGGGGTGGAGAAGTCTCTCTCTCTCTCTCTCTCTCTCTCTCTCTCTCTCTCTCTCTCTCTCTCTCTCTCTCTCTCTCTCTCTCTCTCTCTCTCTCTCTCTCTCTCTCTCTCTCTCTCTCAATTGAAGTTATAAACTATAGCCAAGTCTTCACCCAAGTCTAAACTGTACTGAAGGTATAACTTTTGTCGAGGTGTAACTCTTGTGTGTTTAAGCCACTGATAAACTCCTGAAGCTGACGTCAATGAACTCTCGGCCAATATTGCTTTTAAACCATCTTTGTCAACTTGGATAACTTTGTCTTGGGTGAAGTTCTTGCTGGTGTATAAACTCCAGTTAGGATTTTGTT